AATGGTCCAGCTGGCACAGGANAAAACCTATTTTGTTATAATTCAATTTGTCATTGTCTTAGAAGTCAAAGTCTTATAGTAATTTGTGTTGCATCATCTGGAGTTGCTACACTTTTATTACAAGGAGGAAGGACTGCTCATTCAACATTTAAAATTCCACTTGAACCAGATGAAAGTTCTACATGTAATATTTGAAAAGGTACTCAATTAGCTGAACTTATTAAAGAAACAGCTTTAATTATTTGGGATGAAGCACCTACTCAAAGTAAATACTGTTTTGAAGCTGTTGACAGAACTCTTAAAGATATTAAAGATTCAGAACAATTATTTGGTGGAATTACATGTGTATTTGGTGGAGATTTTAGACAGACTTTACCAATTGTTATTAAAGGTTTAAGAGCAGAAATTATTAGTAGAACATTAAGAAGATCACAATTATGGCCTCAATTACAAGTTTTTAAATTAACTTAAAATATGAGATTAGGTCTTAGTGAAGAAGACCAACAATATGCTAAATAGTTACTTGAGATTGGAAATGGTCAACACACTGTAGAGAATGGTGCAATTACTTTACCTCAACAAATGAAATGTGGAAATACAGTTGAATCACTTATTAACACAATTTATCCAAACATTCAATCATTCAATCCAGAACTTGAAATCTATACTTCTGAATATGATGAATTCTTTTTAAATAGAACAATTCTTTCATCAAGGAATGATGGAGTTCAATCTATTAATGAAAAGATCTTAGAAATGTTTCCTGGAGAAGAGGTTTCTTACTTTTCTGTTAATAAAGTTTTGACAGAAACTGGAGCTGATAATACAAACACAATATTTCCAAGAGAATATTTAAGTTCAATTACTTGCTCTGGATTGCCCCCCTCTATTTTGAAGCTCAAGAAAGGAGTTCCTTTAATGATTTTAAGAAATCTTAGTATAGAAGATGGTCTTTGTAATAGAACAAGATGTATTTTACTTGATTCAACTAGAACACAACTAAAAGTTAGACTTATTTCTGGAGATAAGAAAGGTCAAATACATTTCATTCTAAGGATCAAATTTGTAAGGATTTGATTTACTGGTTCGTATTTTATTACTACTACATTGCTGATCGCGTCAGATCATCGCGCAGTGGGACCCACAAGCGCATATATTCTCATTGTAGTTAGTTACACTTCCTCCTCATGTATCTACACGTGTATACCCCTATAAAAGACAGTATCGACCGCTGGGTAAAGAGGATTCTTTTCCCCTGACCCCTCGCTCGAGTACTAGGTTATCCCAGTCAGTAGTTGAGTGAACTAAGGGCGATTAGAATTCTCTTGTGAGGAACAGTGAGTTTCCTTACAAAATTCCATCCATCTGAAAAGCATATTGGATTTCAAATGGAAAGGCTTCAATTTCCAGTTTGTTTAGCATTTACAATGACAATAAATAAAGCTCAAGGCCAATCTGTAACAAATGTTGGAATTGATCTTAGATCTCCATGTTTTACTCATAGTCAATTATATGTTGCATTATCAAGATGTACATCTGCTTCAAGAGTTAAAGTATTATTTCCAACAGAACTTAGAGATCCTAGGACTAGAA